GTATTTCCTGGTAATAAACTCCTCAGCTGTTTAGGAGTCTGATGGCAGAGGGAAAGAAAGAGTTTTTCAGTCTAGTGGTCCTACATTTGACACTTCTGAACCTCCGGCCAGAGGGCAAAGAAGTGAACAGTCCATGCTGGGGGTGGGTGGGATCTTTGAGGATGGAGGCAGCTTTCCTACGCACCCTGCGGTGGTAAATGCTCTGCAGAGAGGGCAGTGGAGTCCTAGTGATCTTCTCCGCAGTCTTTATCACTCTCTGCAGGCGCTTGCAGTCCATAGCAGTAGTGCTGCCATACCAGACAGTGCTGCAGTTTATGCGCTTTATGCAGTATATAAAGTTTTTTAACACCCTCACAGTTGTTTTCTGGTCCATAGTGGCCACATGAACTGACTCATGAGGTAGGACTGCTCTGAGTTTATTGTTTGGTTGTTTTTATGCTGGAGTTGTAGAGGCTACATTTGCTTTCAAAAGGCTCACTTTTTTACGTTTCTGTCTCTTGTTATTGATGCCACTTATTATGTGAAATGATAGGTCAAGGCTCACTGAAGGCAGACGTTACTCCCAGTGCCCATTCAAGCTGAAACAAGTTGGATTTTTACTTTTGGTGAAAGGTTTTGTAGTTCAGCTCACAGGAAATAGCCTCCACTGGTTTATTGCTGTTGACCCTATTGTGATTGTTGTTGTGGGAGGTGAAGAGTCATGCTATGAGGTTTTGGAGCTGGAGACAGACAGCTGGGCTCAGTATCATGACACCAGAGCTGAGGTATTTTCAGGCATTTTACTTTATTCTTCTTGGTGTGTGTAAGATTCAGAGTTTCAAGCACTGAACAGCACATATATCCATGGTTGTGCTGAAGGATGAAGGTTACATCTGATTAAAAAAGAGGTGCATACAAAGAAAAATAAGAATATAAAGTGTGCTTTTTAGCTTTGTGGGCATACAGTGTATGACAAATGGACCAAAGATGAGCAAAATGAGGATTGTCATCTTCACAACCCCTCAGTATTAAGAGGAAATATCTGCAAAGGCCAGAAAGATAAAACTGCAGGCAGTGTTATCAAAGTGTTACAGCTCTCACGCTGAAAAAGAAGGAGAGGGAAGGTCCAGCCAGTTGGGATGATGATTGGAAAAAAAATTGACTTCATGGTAGGAAATGTAAAGAAAGTGAGAAACAGAGGATAAAGTGGTTGATGAAGAAATGAGGAGCCCATACTTATTCTTCAAGAAGAAAAAGGAAAAATTAAGAGAAAGTATGGCTGGTTAAAAGGTTATTTAAGTCCTCTAAAGCAGAAATTGCAGCAGATAGAATTTTCCATTACTTAAATGGCAGCCTAACTTCTACCACTAGTTTTCTTTTTTATTTTTCTTGAGCTATGATGCTGTGAAAGTGACAAAAGGGAAGGTACATTTTTACTATATAGAGAGGAATACCGTAGCCTTTTATTTCAGAAATCTGGGAAAAATACACAAATAATGTATATTTTAAAAAGTACAGAAGTAAGTAAGAAAGAAAGGTTCTCACTCATCATCAGCAATACTATTGCTTACATCTCTCAATAGCATACTTAAAGTGAGTTATTGGTTTAACCAAATACCATATTAACAATGGCAAAATTCCCATTCTGTTAAGGTATTAGAAAAATTTAAGATGATTTTTTTCTAAACTGATGCGGAGCAAATGAGCACCTTGCTGAATGAACATCATAAAAATAAAAATCTCCTTCAAAATGATTCATCACATGTTATATGTTGTGGAAATATTTGGAAATACTTGGGGAAACGATATTTTATGAGACAAAAGGTGTCCAGACAGTAATATTTACCACATAGATATGTCAGTCTAGACATAAATGATAAAACGGAAACAGATGAAGATGGGGATAACAAGGGAAAAATTGTGTCACAGAAAAAAAAATTGATGGAGCAGCAGAAGAAATGGGGCCAATAGCCGAGGGGGTTAAAGGAAAGGACCAGACAAGATGGAGGCAAGACTGTTATTGGCAATTTAGTGTAAGCTAGGGAGGAGCAAATAAAGCCAGGGAATGTGGTCAGAAAGGTGACAAAGAGGCGGACAGAGGAGGTGGGTGTTGGCATTTTGGCCCAGAGGGAGGGATATAGGAAGCAGAAATGAGGAGGATAGGGGTGTTCATCTTGGGACTATAGACTGACAACTGGGAGATGGAGGAGGAGGAAGATAGGGGCTGAGGCTGCAGGTCTGCGGGCCAGACAAGACTATCTACCCTCAAGGGAAACAGCCTCTTTTTGTTTTGAGAAGAAGACACATGAACAATCCTCTGGACAAAATAGGTCAGACAGATGGATGTGAAGATGAAGTAATGGAGAGGTAGCATGAGGGGGGGATATAGACTTAGCCAGAAACAAAGAGAACAAGAGACACCCACATGGATTCTGGAAAGTCCATGTGGATTTTTGGAAGAAAGAGACAGTGGATGAACACCTAAAGAAAAGATAAGCAACTGAAAGGAAATGAGAGGTAGATTTAGAAGAATATTAAATAAACACAAGGGGGGAGACATAAAGATATTTCATAGAACTGCAATATAAAATGCTGTGTTTGACTTAGTTTAATACTTTAAATCAACACCCCTTCCTGCTTCAACTTGAAAAATGATCAGACACTCACCTTGACTCACTGGGTCAGATAATTCTGAAGACTGTAACAGACCTATATTTCCTGCACTCAGAGTTTGTAATGAATGCATGTGTCTTCCTTCCCCCCTGTTAAAGATTTATGACATTAAAGTCTCTATTGTTTAATAAATCAAACAGGGGAGAGATGTAACAGCAAGGTGGAAATGCACTAAATCAGCTGTAATTTAAACTTGTCACAGAGTGATAAGAGTGAATTTTTGCCAAGCTGAGCTGTAAATATCTGTAGCATCTTCTTCAAAGTGTGTAACAAGAATTATGTTGTTCTGGCTGTGTCTTCCAAAGTTTAACTATGTTTTTATGTGACGCTGAATGCACAGTGAGGTGTTAAGAAGAAAAAGAGCCAGAAGGTAGGGACTCAGAGTTTCTCCCTACTGGGATTACCAAAGTATGTATAAAGTGTATGCGCTACTTTATGCTGTATATGGTCTTCTTTCTTGTTGGCTTTAACCTTTATATTCACAACAGGTTGTTACTTGGTTTGTGGAGTACTTTAAACCACTGTAGCAGCATCGCTTTATTGCTGTCAGTGTTGGTCTGCCAGGTTTTCAGTCAGTTGGTTCACTTTGGTTCAGGCTGAAATATCTTGAGGATGGAACACTATGAAATTCTGTGGCATGTCTTTGGACTATGGGCAGAAGCCAGAGTACCTGGAGCAAATGCCACACAGAAAGGTTTCTGTCAGTCCAGACGTTCTAGCTGCATCTAGTTCCATCAGGTCAAATTTTTTATTTGTTCAGTACTTTGCTGTATGACTAAATACATAAATAGTCTCAGCAGTATTTTGTGTCCACTGCTAATCACCAGGTATTAGCATGCTAGCACATTAAACTAACGGGGGGAACATGGTAACATTTATACCGGCCAAACATCAGCATTGTCATTTTGAACACGTGCTAGCTGATGCTAACATTTAGCTAAATCAATGTTAGCTTATCCCTGTTTACTGTAAAAAGTACCTTTCTTAACTGTCTGCCATTTGTTGGCCTGTTTTTTTATTCTTCGGCTTTGCATATGAAAGTTTATTTACTATTCCAAAACACTTTGTTAACATGGCCAAATAAGGCTCTGACCACCTACAGTACGCACTGTATATGGATGATTAGTCTGAGTGCATATTTGGCTGCACTTACAAATGGGTTTTATCTGTCCATTATCACAGTCTGATCACCTGGTAAATATGTTCCAACCAGGTTTAAAGGGAGTCTGTCTTTCATCTATCCTGAAATGGCTTCTATCAGGGTGGCTGCATAGCTATGAGATTCAGCTCTGCAGGTTTTGATATAAATCTTTCAGTGCCCTTCTTTTGACTCTCCCTTCCTTGAAAAAAGTTTGAGGTACTTTGGCTGAAAATGTTCACAAAACATCATAAATATCACCCAGAGAAATAAAGCAAAAATGTCAACAACAAAAAAACAGTGATGATAAAAGGTTTGATTAATGAAAGGAGTTGAAGAGGATGAAGCATTCTCTGTCAAATGTGAGCAGGAAAGAACACTAGCTGGAAATGATAAGAAAAGGGGAGACAGCAAGTACAAAAAGATGGGGGATGATGTATAGATGGAGCAGCAGAGGACAAGAACGGAAGTATAGAGAAATAATTGTGCATTGTAATTTAAAATCTAGAAGAACCAAAAATCCAAACCATTAAAAAAAAACTTAATAATGAAGTGATTAAATAAGGGATGGAGGAAGTGGATAATGTTTACGCTGTAGGCTGCAGATTAGCCATAGTTCTCTCTGCTCTACCCTGAGGGACCCACTAATTATGTGTTTGTCTATACGTATAGTATGAGTGTGTGTTCACATCCACACTTTGGTCCCTGCAGCTTTACACTTTGGTTTTTGTGTGTGCATGCACATGGCCATGCTCGCTTTAATTCATCTAAGTTTGATTTGTACGCAGACCTGAATCTGTCACTGTGTGTGGCAAGCGTGTGAGTCTATGTGTGTGTGTTTGTGTGATGAGATGAGATTAGACTTCCTGCAGGGTTGTAGTTCCATGGAGGCCACCTGAAGCAGCAGGAACGACAGGAATGTGGTAACAGTGATACGCTTCGCCGTCTCCATCACTACAACATCTCAGCCTCAGCGTGGGAGAGAAGGAAAGAGAGGAGAATAGAGAAGAATAAAAGTAGACACACATAGAGCACATCCAAACTTTGTTTTTCAACCTTTATTGCTGCAAACTTTTTGTATTTCAACACCAACCTGAGCACTTTTTGGGTAAAACCGTTTATAGATTTTCTAATCTTCTCAAGTTATTTGCAGCTGTGCATTAGGAGGCGAGTCAAGTCATATACTGATAGATTATCACAGCATGCCACACAGGAAGCTAAGGGTTTGTGTTTTGTGCCATTGCGATGGGATGATAAAAAGCCTCCTAAGTCTTATCATAGACAAAACTGCAAAACAGAAAACCTTAACTATACGAAAAGGTGAAAACCAAGGTCGAGCTGTGACAGTAGACATCTGGATTAAAGCAACATTAGGGATCAAGGGGGCAACAATGTTGAAAATGTGATTTACTGAGAAGAACATAAAATTAAAATCTAAATTTTCAACATCTTTTTTAAGTTGTCGTATAGCACACTGAGTTAAAATTTTTGCCCCATGCTCTGATTGTAGGGTTCCCATTTGACCAGTTAGACTAGAAGGAGTTTTCAGAGTCAGGAACATCACACCTTGTGGAGTTTCCTTGTACAGAAATACAGTTATTAGTTAATTTTGTTTGTTTGTGAGTTTGTAAATTAGAGACTTTAAAAAGAGATTTTTGGATTCTTATATTGCCTCTGTTTGTTTCTTTGTTTTCTCATCAGTCTGCTCATTGGTATTTTCATCAATTTGACATGCTTTGTGTGCATTGTAATTTGGCATTTACAAAAATTACAGTGATTAGAAACTTTAGTATGTGCATATATGAAACAGCAGTTATGTTTGTATGTTTCATATCATTAGGCACCACTTTAGGGAATTTTAAGTCTACCAAAATTTATTATACCATGTTTAATACTGATGGATTTTATTGAAGCTCAGGTATTACAAGACAAACAAAACAAGGACAGCCACTCAAATCAAATCAAAATCAAATC